TCTTTCAATTTTATGTAATTTTCATTGAATTTAGATCCGTCAGGTTGCCCTGCCATAGGATTCATGTGAAAATGAGATCCTTATTCTAAGCAACTGGTGCAGTTGAAGAAATGGGAAGTGTTAAGGATGCTGTCTGTTACACAAAGGGAGGAGGATTATTCCCGAAAGGCAAGGAGATAAAATCCATTTAAATGTGCAAGTTTTCAGTCACCTCCATTCCAGAAAACAATGCAGGCTCTTCTAAATAAGAGATCTGTATAGCACAGCTGGCCTTGGAATACTCTGACATATGTGTTCAGATGGGAATTATGATATATAGGTAAAATTGCTTGCAGACCTGACCCAGCAGAGAATGCATTCTGACAGGAATCAGAGTTGGAGTTTGGAGTGAGCACTCCCTTCTGTAGGCTTGAAACAGCAACTTTGGGGTAGAGGCTACTGAGCGAAATAAATAGGGGATAAATGCAAGACCAGTAATTTAAAGACAGACAAAGCAGCAGAGCAAGTTGGCTAAGTCAGCCTGTACCCCTCCACTATAAATCCCTCCAACACCAGAGTTTAATTACGTAGTGCTCCTGGTAGGAAGCAGTGGAGAAGGCAGTAATTAGAATTTTGGAGTGCAGTAAAGAACTGCTGGTCCACTGGGCAGGTTTATGCAATTGAGTCTCTCATCAAGGTAACACACATAATTTGCCAAACTTCTTATACGATAGCTCATGGGCATCATTGACTTTTACATCAACTTATATCATCTCTGGACAGTTTATAAAATCCCTGAGTTATGGTATACAAGCAGCAAAGCACTGAAACAAAGTTCTGCCAAACTTCTAAATGTATCAACCCATAACAAAAAGAATTGCACTTATTACCTCGGTAGTATTGTTAGCTCTATCTGTTCCTTTTTACAGGAACCGATATTTTTATATATACATACATATATTTATATTTTTATATAGTGATGTCAGTCATGACAGTGTTGTCTGCAGCCTTTCCTTAAACCTGTTTATTTATTTGAGGGTTTTTTTTATCTCCTGAGATGCCACAGGCATGCACATGGTGAGAGCTGACACTTCGTTGGCTATGAAGATGGAAACATTCCCATGCTTCAGATCTAATCCAAGCACTTTGAATTACTGATACAGTCACTTTGACATTTTTGTGCTGTCTTAGGAGTAACTGGCTTTGAAATATGTGGTGTAAATTACAAGCAAAAAAGTAAGTGTCACAGGCCTGAAATACAGTAAACAACTGTCTCCTGTCTCCTCTTCCAGGTGTTTCTGAAACTGACAAATGAACAGAAACAAGAATCCAATCTATATGAAATTCCACCTTCACTGAAATAAATGGATTTTTTTCCCTTTTGATTAACACTTAAGCATAAGATAACTAATTAATTATTTTTTTTTGCAGCTGGTCTCTTTTAGGATTATTAAAGATATTGGTGGTTCATTGAAAATGGTGAAAACTCAGAGAGTTCAGGCAACAGCAGTCGAAGTTGCTCCTGGTCCAGGACAGTCGCATCAGTCTGGCTGAAGGCAAACTCTGACCCATGTTATGAGCATCTCCTGCCAATTTCTCCATGTGATGGACTTCACTCCATCACCCAGCAAGGAATTTGGCTCAACAGATGAAGCTCCATCATGAGATCTGTTGGTTTATCGAGCATTCTCAACTGCGAGTAATTATATTCTTTGCACATGAGGATAAACCCAGAATTACACAGCTCTGGTTTGGTTCTGTAAATCAAATGCAGGCTTGAAATTCTGGAATCAAAACAGAAGTGTTTTTAAAACAAAACAGGAGACAGGACAGGCCTGTTTTCCATGATTAATAAGGAAAAAAGACCCTGTTACCAGCACGTTGTGGGCTCGTTTCAGAAACGTGCTGAAAACGGAGACGTATTTCTAGCCCTCAGACAAACTTAGGCGTTCTTTGACAAATTACTTGGCTTAGTCCTGGATGGTGCCACTGATTTAGCATTTTTCAAGCCAAATTTCATCCTATCCTACTGGCTGCAGCTGCAGTTTGTTCCTAATACGCTCTTGTTTGCCAGTGCATAGGGTCCATACTAGGAAGCAACATTAAACATCGCCCAGATGATGCCGTCTAAGGGATGATGCTGAGGGGCACTTGGGAACACTCTTGGGGAGTCAAGGTTGAAATGCAAAATAGGGCCCCAAAACAATGTCCCGAGCCCCTGACTTCCAGAGCTCTGTCCAGGTTTGTATGTGCCTAAAGGAGCACAGGTGCTTTATGAAAATCTGCTGCCACCCTCCGCCACAGCGAGAGGCTGAGCCTGCTTGTCATTTTAACGTCAGCCGGCCGCGTTCAGTGCTTCTCTGCTTTCCTTCTGAGGATCCTTCCTGCTGGCTCTTTTTTATTTAAATAGCAGTACTTTTGTTTCGAAAAATAAATATAAAATAATGACCCAGAGAAGAAAAGGATGATGTGACCAATCCCAGTCCCAACGCTGCAACTGTGCACTGGGCTGTTTTGCAGCGGCAGTAACAAAGGCCTCTGTGCGTGCTTGGAGATGATTATTTGCACCCTTTTCAATTTATTTTTCTAAGGCTTGCCATCTGATGCCCATCTAATATCTAGCCTCTCTCTGCTGGGAGAACGAGCACGACCGATCACAAGGGAGAAGTTCCATTCAAGAACATATGTCTCAGCAAACACAACGTGTCCTCTGTCTGCCAGCTGCTTCCCACACCCCACGCCCCCCTGTTTTGAATTAAATTCCATATTTCTACCCCTATAAAGAAGCCACGCAGGCTAGATCTGAGTGTGAACTCAATGTTCTTGTTTGAAATAATCAACACATCTTTTTGCTAAGAACTTAGGTAACTGGGAGAGAGCTGGGAAGTCTCTCCTTGCCAGGAGGCAATGCTGCTCTAAAGGGCTGTATGATAAGATTCAAACAACAAATGGACTTATATTTTTGGTTCTTCCTCCTTGATAGGTTCAATGGGGAGAAAAGCACACCTATATCGAACCATCTTCACTGATTTATTAAAAGATATGCAAAATTATCAAGCTCCAACTTCGGGACAATTCTCTCTGCAGCTCTGTTAAGTGAAATTTCCTACAGATTTCACATTGAAAGAATGGATTTTGAAAGTGATGCTAAAGCTTACAAATCAGATCAGAACTCTGCTTTTCGGAGGTCCTCATCAGTCAAAAAGGATATTATATTTGGAAACACTGGAATATGCCAAGGCACTGAGATTACTTCTCTTGGAGGAGCATTTATGGATCTGAGAGCAATTTGGCACAGGACTAGGCCCCAAATCTATGTAAAAAACTTGTATGCAATGAAAGACGCATAATACAGGAGCTAATTACCCAGTTTGACAAAAATTAAACCCAGCATCAGGCAGCAGTGACCACTAAGCACATTCATCACATTTATGTGGGCTGCAGCAAACGGCAGAATTTCTCAATTTCTGTACGATGAAGCTGGTAACGCTCCCCAGGGCTCTCAGGAGGATTCACTCACCTATGTAAGAAAAAATCCGTTAGATTCTCTATCAAAGATGCACTAAAATCCCCAGCAAAGGTTAAGTGACTGGTTTTAATGCAAAAGTATGCAGACGATATTCTTTCACAAAGGTTCGTGTGGCATAGCAAGAATCATCCAGGATTTGGAAGGAAGTTTTGACTTTGTTAAGGGCACTAACACATGGTGTTCTAAAATAACGACAGAAATAGTTGGAGCCATATTGCTTATCCCAGAAATCCAACGCTTCTAGAGAGAATGCCAAATGCCAGGCGTATTTCTCAGTTGCTACAGCGTCTTCTGAAATATTAGATTGTCTGACCAGAAATCCAACGCTTCTAGAGAGAATGCCAAATGCCAGGCGTATTTCTCAGTTGCTACAGCGTCTTCTGAAATATTAGATCGTCTGACCGGGACACACACACACACACGACCCGATCCAGCAAAGGGCTGAGCACCCTTCGTTTCTATGGCTGAAAACAGCCTAAAAAGTGGGAGGAAAAAGAGAGGAAACTAAATCGTGCATGTCTTCCATGGCTGATACCTGCTGAAAAACAAAAGTAAGATTTCAACATTAACGAGAAGAGAGTAAATTTTTCAGAATCTGAAAAATCTGTTCAGTGAAGGGGAAAAAAAACCTCTAAAATTTAAAGAGAGAAAAACATAACTCTGGTCTGAATCCAGGCAGAGGCCGTGTGTGGCTTTATTACAAGCTCCCATACGTCTCCTGGAGGCACTGGAAGAGACAAGGAGATTTAGACACAGGGAAATGTAATTATTTGTGATTGAAACAAAATAGCAACCAACTTATGCATATACTCTTCCTGTTGAATTAACATTATCCTACTGAATTAAATTATTTTTGTATGCTATTGTACTTTCAGAGGTAGCCATATGTTTTTTCACATTCTGTTTCACATGCTGCTTTTTTTAGTCATCAGAAGTTAATGACATAAAAATTGCTATCTGAGTTGACACGGTTATTCCCTCTTGATGATACTCTTTAAGTAGAAGCATAATGTGACAGATGAGAGCGTTGAAGCTCAGTGTTTCACGTAGACTTAAAATTAATATATAAAAAAAACCCAATCATTCCTGCAAAACTTTCAAAACTATTCTACGGGGGAACAATTTTTCTACTCTGTAATTTATTTGCTTTTCCGTCTTCCTTCGCTTTTCCACGGGTAGAAAGATTTGTATGAAAACAGGAATTTAGTTGTTGGGGAATTCACGTGTTCCTGCTGCGCAGTCATCACAGGAAATCACAACCCTCTCTTTCGGGACCAGCTCCAGACTAGGCAGCAGCGTAGAGCAAATAAACACTGGAAGATGAAACAGGTCTGAGAGCCAGGGCTGGATTTAGGGCTGGATTTAACTGGGAAAGTGTGCAGACTTGTATTCAAGATTGGCAAAATCTTGCCGACAGGTAATTTTTGGCTCAAAATGAGGAAAATCGTGTGAAGCCTGAGCTGTGTAAAGGCAGGTCCAGCGCATTCAGGACATGGGTAGAGAAGTGACAGGAGGCAGAAGAAATATTTCTGGAGATTCCTGTAGGCTTGGTGGTGCAGAAAAGTAATTCCAGCGGGATCTCTGTCACTCCAAATGGAGCTGTCAGAAACAGTTATTCTTTGAAAATTTCAACAGCATTGATAATGGACTGGAGAGAGATTCCTTTCCATTTGAGGGGCTGAACCCTGCTGGAAATGAGGATTTGTATCCAGGCGCCACCAAACTTGCCAAGGCTTCACCCAGCAGGTTTTGGGTTTAAGTCATTTCAGATGTTTACTTAATGTTAGGTTAATCAAGCCCCAAAGAATTATATGAGTCAATTCTTTGGGTATCAAAAGCAGAGAAAGTTTTCCATTTCAGAGAATTGCATCTTTCCCGTCCTGCTTTTTATTCTTTGGATAATTTGCATTGAAATAATGTCTCTTTGGCTTGTGAGTTTTTGCCCCCGCTGCTTTATTATGGGCTCAGAACAGCCGTTCTTGGCGTATGATGTCATTGTTATTTGCTATTGAAATAATTTTAATGTCACAGAAAGGATTAAGATTTCAAGTAAAGAGTGAGCAATAGGAAAACCTGATCACCTAAGCAACAGAAGTCCTGCTTCATGCCTGTGTGTCTAATAATACCTAACAAGGGAAGAACGCCCTTGTCACTGAGGGAATGATACATCCTCTTCCCAAAGAAAATGGGTTTTTACGCTTTAGATGATGAACAAAGCTGGTGCGTTCTGCATTTTTTTTAAACACGCAGAAGTACGTTTATTTATTAGGCATCAATCCGGGTCGATATAAAACAATAACGTTGTGACAGGGATGAGCAGTTTGGGGCATCCAAAGCTCTCGGGGCCCTTCCCCAGCGCAGGGTCCCACCTCGGCCGCCCCTCGGGCTGGGAGGGCGAGGGCTGGGGCGGCCGAGGCTTCCCCAGGCCCCGCTCGCACCCCGCAGCCCCCTGAGCACCCCAAAGGCCGAACGGGCCCGCGGCCGCCATTTCCCTGAGGCAAACCCCCCCCCGAGCCTCCGCCTGCTCCAGCACAGAGGCCGCC